ACAAGCCCCCCACCCCAAAGCCCCCCACCCCCGCCCCCAGATCCAAGGCTGTCAAACTGGTAAAACCCCAGACCCAGCGGGGGCCCGGAGCCGGAGGGCAGGGGAGAGGCAGCCCTGGGGGTGCCCAGCTCAGTCGTCCCCTTGCCAGCCCCGACCCCCACCCCCTGTGCCTTGTCCTGGCTGGTTCCCGCCACACATCAGCTCCTGGGACGGCCACGTTCCACCCCCCTGCAGGGACTTGTTCTTTGAGAAACACAGGCAGCAAGGGCCAGTTCTCACCAGAGACAGCGTGACGTGATGGCACAACCCTGGGGACAGACCAGGAGACCATCCGACCTACCCGTCAGCCACAAAGACTTCTCCTTTGTGACTTCCGGGCAAGGCTCACCATCGAGCTGTAGGGGTGGCTCTGGGTCATGGCTCCCCTGGCAAGTAAGTGGATTAACTTCCCCCAAGGGGCTCGGGGGCTTGGTTTGGGGGCCAGGTGAGACTCCTGCCTCTGGATGGTGATCCTGGGGCCCCTCACGCTGAGACAGAGGCAGGCTGGGGCCTCCGATCTTCAGCCCTGACACCTGAGAGTCCTTTCTGCTCCCAAAGTCAGACCCACGGATGCCCTCAGAGATGAGACCCTGAGAACCTTCCACGCCCCGCCCCATGGAAAGGGGAACTGCTTTGGGGGGTCAGCTCGTACTTATGCATATTGAAGGGCCCTTCCCAGGGTACCGCAGGCTCCCCCAATTCCTCCCAGAACTACATTAGTTACTGTAAACTGAGTGAGGCCAGAGGTTGGTTCAAAACAGATCCAGGCCTAGTGAATTCAAAGATATTCGGATGGAAACGCGGATCAGGGATGGGGGGAAGGGGCAGGCGTGCCACAGACGCACAGGGAAACAGAGGGCAGCCGGCTGTATGGTGGGGGAGGTCCCTCTGTGGCCCTTGGGCCCTCCCTTGGGTCCTGCAAGCAGGCTCAGAGAAGCAGCTTTGGGGGGGCAGTGACAGTTAATTCGGGGATCCACGGGGCGTGCTGTCTGCGTTTTCTTTCAGCTTGTGCTTGCGAAACAGGCTGTAGAGGACACGCAACGTGCTCTTGGTGTCCTTGTTCACGATGTCTGCAGGGCAGAGGAGAACAGGACAGCCGGTCAGGCCTAGGCGGGGGTGGGGAGGGGGTGACCACCGTCCCACTGTTGCCCGGGACCTAGTGGCTTCCTGGGACACGGGACTTCCGTGCTAAACCCGGGGGGTGGGGAATCCCTGTCCAACAGGACAGCTGGTCCCGCCAGGCCTGAGTCCCAGGACCCTCACGTGGCCCTGCCTCCCTGCTCCTCCCCTGCACCCCGGTGCCCCCCACACCTGTCAGGACAGCCTGCCCCAGGGTCCCCAATCCCCCGTCTCCTCTCCCTGTGACCCCTCCCCCACTGGGGCTGGTGGAGGCTGTGGGCACCGCACCCCCTCATAGGAAGTCCCTGAAGAGACTCGGTGTCTGCCATGCCACGCAAGGGGACCGCACGGCCACATGCTCTCCCCTGCGGGCAGGGGCAGAGCGCGCACCCCCTCGAGCCGCACCCTCACCTTCGGGGTTGATGGGGTAGCTGAGCAGGCCTTCGTCCTTGAGCAGCTCCAGGGCCAGGGTGACATTGTGCAGCTGTGATAAGACCCCACCAGATGTTGGCAAAATGAGGGAGCCTCCACCCAGGTGCTGGTCCCCAAGTACCAGGCCCGCCCACCACTCAAGGAGTCCACCCCGAGTGGGAAAGGCAGTTACGGCGAGGGGCAACTAGTCCGGACGTCAGGGAGGGCTTCCTGGGGGAGGTGACGTCTAGAGGTAAGTCCTGCCAAGGGAGGGGACGTAGCCAGGGGTTTATCCTGATCTTGTCTGATGCAGCCCCAACGCTGTGGGCAACGGAGACGCCACCAGAAGCAGCTCGGTTCCAGGGGCAACACACAGATGCAGAAACTGAGGTTCTGAGTGGCCAAGGGGCTCCTCTGAGCTTACAAGACGGAGAGCGTCAGAACCAGGTCTGTCTCACTCTGATGTCCGTGCAAAGCAGGCTGGAGGCTGGAGCAGCGCCCCTGCCCAGGCCCACCTGGGCTCAGACCCCTGCTCGGTCGGCGGGCAACCTCCAGGCTCCCCCAGCCTGCCTTGCGCACCTGCAGAGCGGGGTCCCCACCATTTCGCCCGTGTCCCGATCCGGGACGCTGGGTGGGGCGCCCTGGGGAGCCCTGAAGAGACGCTCTGTTAGCGGAGACTTCTGTGTTCACGGCTAGTTTCTCCCTGGGGCCTCGATACGATCAAAAAGTCCCTTCCCTTCCTGGGGCAGCAGCCTGGTGTCTTAGAAGGAGACGGTGTGGGGTGACGGCGACGGTGCGGGGTGGGGTGAAGCAGGTCTGAAGGCAGCTAAACCCCTCATTCACTGTGACTTCAAGCAGGCCCTCCCTTCAATGGTCTCGGCCCCCGACAGGGCGACTGTGGGCCCCGGAAGGCCTCGACTGGCGGCCAGCCATGCGGCCCCATCCCCGCCCCGGCTTCCCACGGTCCCCATGGCAACCTCACCGGTGGCCTAGAGGCCCAGCGGGTGGAGGAACAGCCGAGCAAGGCCACTTGGGGAAGCCGGCCCAGCCCGGTGGCCTCCCAGTGGCTCTGGGTAGGAGGACTCTTGTGACCTGGACGGGGCGTCCGTGCCCCGACCCCCACCAGCTCACGGGTCACGGGTCAGGCAAGTCACCCGTCCTGGCTGGGCCTCAGTTTCCCTCCTCTTGCAACGAGCACAGCGCGTCTTCCAGCCTGCCTCCCCAAAGCTGCCACGTGGGTCAAACATGATGACGGACACGGAACGAAGGCCACAAAGCAAGAGCTGAAGGCGGGCGATGAAGGCACAGCGGGGGGCTGGCCTCGGCCGGGGCCTCCCTGCAAATTCCCTGTGTCTGGGCTCCCGCGGGGGCCAGGAGATGGGACACGTTTGGGGGGGGTGGGGCTCGAAGCCCCTAAGAGAGCTCTCCCGAGGGTCACCCCGTCCTGGTCCGAGGACGCTGGGCGGGGCCGGGGAGAACCTTCCGCCCCACCCCCCACCCCAGGACTCCCGCTGCAACCCGGGGCAAGGGGCAGAGCGCTCCCTGGTGGCTGGTCGCGGCAGGCTGTGCGGGGACAAGGCGGGCCGTCTGTGGGGTCCCTCTCCATGGGGAGAGGTGTTGCCGCAGAGAATGGACAGAGACCCGGGCAGGGGGGTGGGGGTCCGAGACGCAAGAGTGGGAGAGGGGCGGCGCTGTAGCCGGTCAGGAGGAGCCCCAGGCTGTCAGTGGTGCCGAGGCCCCCAGGCAGGTGGGACACACCACTGGGGCCGTGCAGACTCAGGTAGGAAGTCTCAGAGGGAGCAGGTCACGGCTCCATTGCTCGCTGCTGTCACTGTGTCCCCAAGGATTCCCCCCAGCCCGGAATATTCTGAAAAAAATGAGGGCCGCTGTTGTTCACATTCTCATCGTGAACACTAGTCACCGGCTGCCCACAAGGTAAGCGTCAGAATAAAAGGCTGAGACTGGACTCTCGGCACAGTGCTCTCCCGCCTCCCAGCCCTGCCTTTGATGGACTCACTCTCCACACCGGCGTCTCCCAGAGCATGACCCAGGGCATAGAGGGAAAGGGCGTCTGTGACCAAACGGGTTGGGGAAAGGTTAGCGAAAAATACGATGGAAATCCTTCGCTGCAGGACTTCTCAGAGCCTTGACTGTCTACGGCGTACCGCGAACCTTCAAGACAACGCGTGGTTGCCCAAGTTATTTGACCGTAGGATCCACTTGTCATGGGGCCCCTCAGGGGACCAGTGTTTTGGAAACACTTGGTCCATTCACTTATTTAAAAAATATTTGTGAGCACCTACTGTGGGCTGGCTGTGCGACAAGGGCAAAATCACCCCCGCCCCCCGCTCCCTGCCCCCATGGAATTTGTGCTTTGAGAACCGCCACCATCGACACTGTGAGAACGACCACACTTGCTTCGACCTGTCAAGCCCGTGCTCAACCCGAGCCCCGCGGAGCTGCCGCAGGCTCCAGATCCGTCTCCCGCCCTCCTCCCTAAGCGTCACCTCGCTTCCGTGCACAGTGTGAGATGGTGACAGAGGCACCACGTTGCACGGAGCGGGGGGGAAGGTTGTAACCCAGGAGGATGTGCTCAAATCCCCCCGGGGAGAAATAATTGAACGTGGGAGGAGGCCCGCGATTCCCGGAACCGGTGTGTTGCTTTCGGCAGAGCAGACCGTCGCCTCCCTCCCTCCGTCCCTAGAGCTCGTCTTCCCGAAAGGAATGACAGTCTCGCGGAAACACCGGTGGCCAGGAAGGGCTGATAAGGAGACCGCCAACGTCGAGGGGCCGCTCCGCCAAGATCACGATGCAAAGGGCTGGCGCTCCCGCCCTCTTCAGCTAATGACCTCTCGGCACTTTGGTCACACCCTCCTGCAGCTGAGACCTCCCACAGTAAAAATCCATTCTTGGGGTCTGAGCTCAGAGGACGCTTCTCTTCCCCTGTGTGGAATGTGGCTCATCGCGGGAAGCTGCTTCTAAAATCAGTGGGTTCAGCAGGCTGATGGCACCCGGGGACGTGAGGAGTCAGGACATTTGTCCCTGGCTCGTAATGGGGTTTGTGAGCGTGCCGACTGTGGGGCGGAGGCTTAGAAGTCCCCATGGAGCCCGACAGCCGAGGAACAAAGAGGGGACCCCTGTGCCGTCCCGGGTCTTGGTTCTGCGCCCCTTCCCAAGGCTCCCTGGCCTGCGTGTGGCCCTCACTTCTCCATCCGCCTCCCCGCTCTCCTGCCTTCTCCTGCCTCTGTGTCCTGCCTTCTGGGTGCAGGGCGAACACCACCGCCCCGGCTGGGCTCTGACCCTCCTGAGCCTTCCAGCAGCTTCGGGCAAGCCTCCCTCTTGGCCACAGAGAGGCTCACACCCCCTCTGCCTCCCTTAGGGCTCACCCTGACTCCCCAGAAACAGGGAGAAGGCTCTGGCTTTGGAGGCAAACAGTGAGCCCACTGTTCCTGCTCCTACCTCTAGAACCACAAACGCTGCACGGCTCCAGCCGATTAGCTCCTCACCCTAGAGCCGAGCCCTTGAGAGTCTGAGCCCCGAATCAGTCTTCCAGTCAAGTGCGCTCCTGCCTCCTGGGAAGGTGGAGGCCGTGCCCACTGAAGACCGCATCTCCATGATGCAAGGGGGAGAAGAGCAGGCTGAGGGTCAGAGGGCCAGTGCTCGTGTCAGACCTGCCACTGAGCAGCGGAGTGGTCCTGGGCAAGCCCCAGAGCCTCTCCGGGCCTCAGCTTTCCCCTCTGTCGAATGGAGACACAACCCCTGCCCTGTCCCCCCGCAGGGGTGCGGGCTGGGGATGAAACGGGGTAAAGGGCCAGGTGAGGCCAGAAGTAGGATGTGAGCACGGCTGTGGTTCGGGGGCCTATGGAACACCGAGGAGCCTGGATGAGCCACGAACGTGGTCGGAGCCGACAGCCCGGCTAAGCAGGTGGGAATGAAGTGGGAGGCAGGGTAGGCAGAGGAGCCATCTGGGCAAAAGGCCTGGAGACGCGAGAGAACCGGGCTGCGGGTAGGCTGTGACGCTGAGACCAGGAGTCAGTGGGACACGGACGGACAGGGTTGTGGATGTGTAGGGAGGGGCCTGGAGGAAGGGACCAGGGTGTCCAGCAGGAACCCAGCAGCCCCCCACCCCCACCCCAGGCAGGTCACGAGGTCTGATCCAACCCTAGAACCATGGCTCTCACCCTCCCCAGCAACGCAGCCGTGCCAAAGGGGACGGAAATCCTTCCTTGGGATGGATGAATGGGTGGGTGGGTGGATGGATGAGCAGATAAATAGGCAGATGAAGGGATGGCCAGGCAGGTGAGTGAGTGGATGAACTGGCAGATAAGCAAATAGGCAAGTCAATGGATTGGTGTGAGGGTGGATGGCTGGCTGGCTGGCTGGTTGGATGGATGGATGGATGGGTGGATGGATGGATGGATGGATGAGTATGTGGATGTATGGATGGTTGGATAGATGGATGGATGGATGGATGGATGGATGGATGGATGGATGGTTGGATGGATGAGTGTGTGGATGGATGGATGGATGGATGGATGGATGGATGG